TTGGCGGCACCTGATAACAATACCAACAAATTGTGTGTCATGTAGGACACACATTCTCTAACGTAGCTGGACGCTCTGCTTGTCACGCATAGGCATTGCTGGACCTCCCCCTGTGGGCTTGGGTTCTGGCTCTGTGGTTCAGGAGTGGGCCCTGGAAATCTAATTTTCACACAAAGGTGGTAGGTGTGTCTTGTGATCAGGCAGGTCCTAGAAAAACCCTGTTAGAGGAATGGACACCTGAGCCTGGGATCCTGGCTGTGTCTGGAGGGTACCCTCACCTTGTGTGGGCCCCATGGGTCCTTTCTGCTGCTTGGGAAGGGCTACCTTCTGTGTCCTTGGCTCCACTTCAGGTTTTATCTTAACACATGTTTTCCTTCTCACAAAGAGGCTGTTATCTCGGATGGGGCCGAATCAGAGAGTCCTTTGTCAACAGCGTGGAGAAGCCAGTTCCGCGACACCTTTATTTTTAGGCAGGTTTTTCAGAGACTGAATGTTAAGTACTTAGCGCCAGTGGAGCCGTGGTATGGGTCTCTGCAGAGAAGTCTCACAGGGTGCCTTGAAGCCGACTCTCCCCATTCTGGTCCCCAGCCTGGTCTGTCCTTGGGGAAGAATGAATGCCTCCCTCTGAAGGGAAAGCTGGCCAGAGAGGGATCGCGAAGGGCACTCGTGCTCCACAGACCAGCCTGGTTCTGACCAGGTATACTGACTGATGAAGGAGTGGGTTTCCTGGTGATTCTGTCAGCTTTACTCTCCATTGCTCCAGGTGCTCTAAGAGAGACTTTCATTTTATGAAGCAGATGAAGGAGAGGAGTGGGGTGGTTGAGTTTGCTGAGTGTAGGTAGGGTTCCTTCCAGCTGAAAAGTCGAAACCTGCTGAAAAGTCAAAACCTTAGCTAGGACAGTGCTTTTGGTAAAAGTAGGCATGCAGACCCGGGGCAACCAAGGAGGCAGGAGAGCTGGAGCATGCTTCAAAAAGTACAGGGAACCTTGGAATGAAAAATAACGGAATGAAAAAAAAATTAATTCACATTTCATACAATCCAACCGTCCAGTCATTCTAAGAAGAGTTGTGCAATCAACACCACAATCAATTTTAGAACTTTTTCTTCTTATAATCATTGTTGTTATTCCCCGTTCCCCTCTAACCTCTCCGGCCATGCCTCCCCTGGGGAATGATTAATCTAGAACTTTCTGAAGCCCTCTTTGTATTTCCTTGGAGCCCGGGTGGTGTAGTGGTAACACGTTGGGCTGCTAAGCACGAAATTAACAGTTCGAAACCACCAGTTGCTCTTCAGGGGACAGATGAGGCTTGGAAACCCAACGGGGCAGTTCTACCTTGTCCTATAGGGTCACCCTGAGTCAGAATTGACTTGACGGCAGTGACTTTTTGCTTTTGTGTTTTCTTTTTTAAAAAGTTTGTCATGATACGCTTTATTGTTCCATCTTAAAAACATAAATAAGGATATTGGAATTTTCCTGTCTTATAGAAATAAGCTTCTTTGGGGGAAGGAAGGGAGGATATTTTTTCTTTTCCTTTTTCTGTAGGGAGAGGCTAGCTATCCAGAAAACTACTGCTAAACTGGGCTCTCCCTAAGCCACATTACTTTATGGCTTCTTGTCTGTCTGGGCCTTGGTGTCTCTGTGACCGTGGAGTTGGTCTACCCTCCTAAGAAGAAACTTGACCCAGTGACAAAACCACACAGTGCCTTCCAGGGGGCCTCACGGTTTCTTTTTGGGTGCAACCAGGTTCTTTTTTGCAGGGTGTGTGTGCGCGCAGAAACACCGTCTAAAGGCGAAGTGTGTGTCCACTGTCCTTGAAGCCCCAGGCTCCCTTTGTTTGTCCCTGAGCAAAGGAGGCTGCAGGGAAGAGGAAGCGCCCGCTGTTGGGGAAACAACAGCCCCACCCTGGAGGTACCCTGGTGCACGCAGCACCCTCCGTGTGCAGGTCCGGGAAACGGTCCAAGTCCCTGCAAAGCCAGCTTTGGGTCTTTTCTTTTAAGACACATGGACTTCAAAGACCCTGTAGAATGTGAGGCCCTGAGCAGAGTCACTCTTGGGTGACCCGGCCAGGCCATCATTGCCAACTCCCCTCTCCCCCGGACTGCCCCTCCTCCCCCTTGAAGCAAGGCAGCGGTTCTCAGACAAATCACCAACCATCTGGAGGGTTAAAACACAGGTTGCTGGGCACTGCCCACAGAAGGTCTGATTCTCGAAGTCTGGGGTGGACCCAAGATTGGCGTGGCTAACACCTTCCCAGGTGATGCTGCTATTGATGTGGGGCTCCCCTGAGAACCAAGGGAGCCCCAAAGGCATAGGGGTTACATTAGGGATTCGAAACCACCAGCCCCTTGGGAGAAAGATGGGCTTTCTACTCCCGTGAACAGTTAACAGTCTCAGAAACCCACTGGGCAGTCCTACCCTGTCCTGTAGGGTTGCTATGAGTCAACATCCACTTGATGGCAGGTTTTTTTGTTGTTGTTGTTGAAACACCCCCATCTACCACCCACCCACCCCAGGCACTCATTGACCAGGGTGTTGAGGGTGTGTGGAGGCAGATAGTGTTACAGCTCTTGAGGTGGTACCGTCTGAGTCGTAGCAACCTGGTGGGAATCTCTTCACTGACGGACACCAGGCACTTGGAAGCAGCATTTCACTGGGGAGGTTAGGAGTAGCCTACTTCTGTCTCTGGTGGTCTCCACTTCGACCTGGGATGTAGCTTTACAGCAGCTGAGAGGGCTTTCACTGCCCACTTCCAATTCATCTATCTGTCTGTGTCACAGAGAGTGTTCTGAACTCAGATATATCACCATGTTGCCCCGCCACCCCATACACACACACACACACACACACACACACACACA